GTTTGCTGTTGTTGGTTGAGCTCATACCAGTGGTACGCGTTATTTATTAGTTGACATAAGTGCTCATAAATATTTATTTTGTTTTAGGTTTAGGGCTGGTCTGTCTCTCTATGCCAATGCGCCGTAATTCACTTAATTACTGAAGGTATCTAAGGAGAATTAAATGTTAATTACTTAGGGCCGGTTTATCAATGTCCAGTTAAAGTTGCAGTTAGTTATCTGGTAGATAATTTCCATGGATACCATTGTTCTCACAACGATTAGAGATTGATAAACCGGCCCTTAGTCTTTTAAAAAGGATAAATAAAAATTAAGTAAATGTTTTAGGAATATTCTAAATTTTGTAACACGTAAGATAAAGCATTAATTAAGATAAATAATTAAGATAGATATGCAGGTGTTTCAAATGGTGGACCCGATACCCGGGGCATGGAGGAACAATGTTATAAAAGTGTTTTTTTTTATCTTTACCAAAAAATGTTAAATTTTTTTTCGGTTTTGTAATAAATTAGTTAGAACATATTATATAGGTTTTCGAAAAAATTGCTTATGTCTATACTTTCATATATATCTGAAATATTTTTAAAAAATGCTTAAGCGGTCCTCGCTGCCCCCGGTCTCCCCTACTAATAATTAGTAATAATAAACAAAGATTGCAAACATACTTAAAAAGTTACAAAAATGGCGAATGCGCCGGGATATATTGTTTCCTTATAAGCTTACAAGGAAATTATAATAAATAATTATTATCCATTTTAAATGTGTATTTTAGCTTAGACACAGAGCGTTCAAAGTTTTTTTTTAACTTGAATAGTTAATGACTTAAAAACTACCCGCCAAAAATAAATAAAAAAATCTTTATATTACGTAAAACGCCACTAACAGTGTAAGTACATATTTAAAAAACCCTGTGTATATTTTTTATCTGATTTTTTTTCTTTTTGTAAAAAAGTAATTTCATCTAAATTGGGCATTGGTATAATTAAGAAGTGGCAAGATAAACAGGCGAAAAAAGGAAACAAAGGGAATTAATTATTTCATTAGAATTGGATGTATAAAAGTCAAGTTTAAATGAAAGACGTTAAAAAGAGAGGGGATTAGCCGAAAAAAAAGTGCAAAAACTGTTTTAATCGGCTTAATAAAAAGGAATTAATTCAAGAAGCGACAATAGAACGGGACTAAAATGGGATAAATGACCCTGTTTAACAATACTAATCTGCTACCAAGCTGATCCGCTCTTTGCCTATACGGAGGAAAGAAAACAGTAACCATTGATGAATGAATTTTGAAATCCTTAAAAAAATTGAAAATCGTAAAAAGTTTGGAAACAAACAAGAAAAGAACAAAAAATTGTACTGCACCATTCGATTCATTTTGGATCACGAATGTAATCAACTACCTACATACCTACTATTGCGGGAAGTGCAGTAGCAACTATATAGGGTTTATTGGCGGGTAAAATACAATTTTAAAAACATTTTTTTTTAATATTTGTATTATGACAATTTATTAAAAACATCTTAAATCAATAGATTTCGATTAACAAATTCTGTTTTGATTGTATTACACTTCAAAGTAGAATATTTTTAAAGCAGTAAAATATGCTTAAAATTAATAAATAAACCATATTTTTTATCTACCAAAAAATTTATATTTATTTTTTATATATGTTTACAGTACACCTTAATCTTTATATAAATTACCATTTTAAAATAAAATTAAAAATTAAAAGTTATAACGTTTATTACATTGGTAAACAATGTATATAGGTATTTAACTGCAATTTATATGGAGATCCCTACGGTTATTCAGTAAAAAATTAGCTGCATATACGTGCATATGAAAAAGTTATGAATTTGTTTTTATTGCGCTGCTTGGCTTAATCGCGGTAGCTCGTATCAAACTAAGACACAATGTCTTAGACAATTTGTCTAAGACTTAGACAATCTACCCACTCAAAATTTTGGAGCCTATATATCTATGCTCATAAGTTTTACTTGAACTAATTTATATAAATATTTATTTATGTATTACATTTTGTACTTTGTTTTTAATATTTAAAAAAATATATACAAATTAGAATTAATAACCTACTAATAACAAATTGTTAGGTATTAATTAATGGATTATCCTTTGTTTTGCATCTTTTATGGTAAAAACTATTACATAAAATATTTGCTCATAGGATTTATAAGGTAATAATAATAATTTTACATATACAGGGTGAGTCATTTAACTTGAAACTTAAAATAAAAATTAAATGATTCGAGGGGAAATCGATCAGTAAGTATGAGGACCAATTTTAGTACTAAAATTGGTCCTCATACTCTCCTCCTTATAGGGGGAACAGGGGGTAACTTTATTTAATTTCCAAAGGAACACCCTATTTTTTATTGCAAATTCGGATCATTCGACTAAAAATAGGTAGATTTTGTCTAAAATATTTTTTCATATTTGTAATAGATCGCGCTGTAATGAAAAAAAAATCATTAGATTTTTCTTCTGTATACGATTCTGCAATAATTTTTCTATAAAAATATCACTTTTTTTGGTAAAAATTATCTTATTAAATTAAATCTGATTTTTTAAGTAATATTTAAGTTTCCTTTGGTTTAAGTTTTATACATTATTTCATTCGGTGATAATTATGAGGCGCCGTTTGTGCCATAATTATGATTTATAAAATATAGAATTATTTGTAAAAATATAAATATTTTTTTTTAATATAAATAATTTGTTTGAATTATATATATTTTATCTCATATTCTAAGATATATATTAGTTTTACTAAAATATATAATATTTTAACTAAATAATATATATTTAAAACAGTAATACTAATAATATAAACTCAATACTAATAATATAAACTAAGCTTACAAGACGTAACGCTAGGAGGCGCTGGCAGCTTTATTTAACTTGGCAACGCAGCCTTTCTTTCATTTCATGTGAGAATTACAGTGGTGTAAATTAAATAACTTTTTGCCGCACTTTGGCTTTTTGTTATTTTTTATATGTTTAACTGGATGTTTATTGTCGTGACTCTCTTTTTAAACAATATTTTTTTATTCCTTAATTCTGGGCTACGCAAAACTATGTCGATTTGGTTCCATTACTGCGGTGAAATTTTAAATGACCTATTAATCTGTTAGATTTTAATTTAAACTTATACCCAAGTGCTTTATTACGTACCAGAGGTATTATTATTTTTAATGTATCTTCTAGTTTTATTTAATTTACACCACAGTAATTCCGACATGCAATTACACACAGGCTGCGTTGCCAAGTTAAATAAAGCAGCCAGCGCCTCCTGGCGTTACGTCTTGTAAGCTGAGTTTATATTATTAGTATTAAAATTATATTATTAGTTCAACTGTCCAAATATATAAATATTTTAAATATATATTATTTTTGTAAAAATATTATTATATTTTAGTAAAACTAATATATATGTTATAAAATAAGCTAAAATATATATATTTTAGATAAAATATTTATATTTTAAACAAAATATATATTTATTTTAGAAATTATTATATATTTTACAAATCATAATTATGGCACAAACGGCGCCTCATAGATAATTATCAATTGGGCACCATAGTTAAGTCACTTTTTACCTGCCAGCATTAAATCCTTTAATTTAAAGTATTATTTTTAATAAAAATACCTCATTTAAGTTAAAAAAAAACATTATTTTGTCAATTAATTAATTCAATCCTAATTGAGGTATAAAAAATGGTATTTAGTTATAAATAATAATTATTATTGAGGTATAAAGAAACTATTTATAGTTTAGCATTATTAAATCAATTTAGTTCGAAGATTAATTTGCAAACAAAAAAGACCTCCTTTTGTTAAGCAGTTATTCATAATGGATTTGTTAACAGTGGAAGAAAAAATAAAAATGATTTTGATTTAGGAAAAGCAGGCAGGAATCTTGATGATGCTGTTCATATCTACGTTTAGCGTTTTCACCGCAGAGTCAAGCAGTTTACTATAAACTGGAGTGTTCAACTGAAATAAAGAGTTCGTCGAGCAACAGTCACAGGTGGAAATAATGAAATTAATGTATTATCAGCTGCTATCAACGGCCCCTAATCCTCAACAACTAGAGAGACAATAAATATCAATATTTAGCTCAATGTGTAAGCTTGGTTAATGTAAGGTATTAAAATTAGAGCTCTCTATATTATAGAGAGCTATAATGCACACCTATACCTAAAATGTATAACTCTAATAAAGAAAATCGGTGAAAAAATTGCAGTGCTTTTAAGAGGCACCTTTAGTTTCATTTAAGCTTTTGCATTTTTTTAAGACAGGGTCTATACTCTCTAAAAATGAATTAGTCAAAAATGACTAATTTAATAGTTATTAGTGGCTACTTTTTCACTTGTACCATGATTAACCATGGAATAACATGGTATCCCAAAATATAACAGCAAATTCTTATGTAAAATTGTCTCCTGAATCCGAAAATACCGTCAAAAATTATGAAAGTGGAGCAGTTTTTGAGATATCGTCAATTCCATATTAAATGGAAAATTGACTATATCTCAAAAACTGTTTTACTTTTTTAACTTTAGATGACATTTTCGGATTCAGGGGAAAATTTTACATAAGAATTAACTGTTAAATTTTGGGATACCATGATATCCCATGGTTAACCACCTTGTACCATACAAGTGAAAAAGCAGCCACATAACTATTAAATTAGTAATTTTTGACTAATTCATTTTTAGAGAGTAAAAACTAAAGAAATGGTGTTTGAAATCTAAATTATCCGAAATTCCTCTTGAAATTTCATAAGAAATTTTTCTTTAACAATTTTTTTGAATTTGCAATATCGCAAAAATTATTTAATTTATAAAGCCACCAATGAGAGCGCAGTATGTGAGGTTTTGTTGTTATATATTTTCTGTTTTCACGCTAATATTCTATTATTGGGAAAAAGAAAAAGATAACATAGTCGACACATACAGGGTGTTTCAATAAAAACTCCCAGGCCAATTATTTCGAAAACTAAAAGTGACATTTAAATTCTGTAAACGCCAGTTTTTAGACTCTATGATTGGCTTCACAACTATGTAAAAAATGTGTTTGAATAATACAAGATGTAGGTGGCGCCACTGTGCAAATAATTTTTTCGATGGCAGGTACATTTAAATTAATTTTTGATCAAATTATGTCCCATACAAATTATTGATAAATCCAACATAAACGGAGATATTTGGGGTAAAGTTTTTTTTTTAATAATTTTAACGAGTATTTTAATTATAAATATTTTTAATATGCTTTAGCAGATGTTCATTTAATTCTGGTAATGATAATTTTAGTGATAAAACGCTCGTGTAGCGCTAACTAGATTAAAATTATTACGTCCAGTGACGTCTCAGAGGGCCCCTTAACAAATAATATTGGCAAAAAATAATACGCCACTGAGTTTCTGGAAATTTTTATATTTTTTTCGGATTAAGCAACTAAAAATATCCTTTTTTTGTCTGCTGAATTGTTTTCATATCTTGCTTCGTTTTCGAGAAATAAAAATAAAACCATTTGGAAAACAAAATTCATTAAGAAACAAAACGATAAATTATTAATAAGCTATATTTGTTGCTGTTTAAAAACAAAGGTGAAACATTAAAACATAATAAAATAAAATTAAAGAATGTTTTAAATTTTATGAAAGAACTGGGGAGAAATTATACAAAATTATTAATGAAAATTAGAACAAAACTAACTAATAAGGTCGAATGAGGTGTTCAAAATTATTGCCGTTTTTATACACACATATCAAATCGATATAATAATTCGGTTCTGCAAACTCTCAATAGTGTATTTCGATTAATAGCGGCCATAGTAACATAGATTTTGTTGTACAGGTCAATTGGTTCCTTGTAGACTTCATTTTGTAAGCCGCTCTTTAAATAAAAGTCAATCAGGGAACTTGCTGGCCATCTAAGATCCCCATTTGTGCTGATCACTTTTACTGGAAACGGCATTTAGATGATTCATAACGATATTGCTATTGGGTGCTGCGGCACCGTCTTGATGAAACCACATAGTATTTACGTCAATTCCCAAATTTTGTAACAGCAAAGGGAGATCGTTTTGCATAAATTGTAAATAACGAACTGAAGTTAAATGTTCATGGTACAAATAGGGCCCGACTATGTAACCATTTACAATACCGCACCAAACATTTACCCCAAATCGTGTTTGAAATTTGGTCTGTCGTATCCAGTTAGGATTTTCCTGGGACCAGTAGCGACAATTATGTTTATTAATTACTTCATTATTGTTAAACCGGGATTCGTCACTCCACAAAATTTGGTTTAATAAATTTGGATTTTCTTCCAAAAGAATACGAAAATGTGTCAAAAAGTTTAATCTGCGCTGGTTATTTCATCTTTTAATTTTCGTAATGACGTTTGTGGGTTATTTTTTACTGATTGGAGGACTAAAGCTACATTTTTGTCAGTCGTATCCCTCTTCCTTCTTGGAACCGTTTCCTTTTTAAAGCTACCATATGTAGCTAAGTTGGTACACAAAGCTACAAAAGATTTGCGACCTGGCGTTGGTCTCGATAGCAGCGCACAGCTTCTGAAGCATTTTGATGTCATTCTCTATAAACTAAAACCATGTATGTTCAATTTGTCTTAATTTGTATGGTGAACCATTTTTATTTTAGAAATTGCAAATTCTTACACTGACAATAAGTGAAGTGAAGAAAAATTTACTTGATGTTTCTAACATTCATTTGTTTTTATTTAATGATTATTGTTTTCCAGAGATATGCAGTGAAATGGTTTTATTTTTATTTGTCGAAAACAAAGCAAGATATGAAAACAATTCAACAGACAAAAAAGGATATTTTTAGTTGCATAATCCGAAAAAAATTAAAAAATTACCAGACACTCAGTGGGGTATTATTTTTTGCCAATATTATTTGTTAAGGGGCCCCCTGAGACGTCACTGGACGTAATAATTTTAATCTAGTTAGCGCTACACGAGCGTTTTATCACTAAAATTATCATTACCCGAATTAAATGAACATCTGCTAAAGCATATTAAAAATATTTATAATTAAAATACTCGTTAAAATTATTTAAAAAAAAACTTAACCCCAAATATCTCCGTTTATGTTGGATTTATCAAAAATTTGTATGGGACATAATTTGATCAAAAATTAATTTAAAAGTACCTGCCATCGAAAAAATTATTTGCACAGTGGCGCCACCTACATCTTGTATTAATCAAACACATTTTTTACGCAGTTGTAAAGCCAATTATAGAGGCTAAAAACTGACGTTTACAGAATTTAAATGTCACTTTTAGTTTTCGAAATAATTGGCCTGGGAGTTTTTATTGAAACACCCTGTATTCTTGCAATCGCAAAAGGCGATGTTCGTCCTATAGTGTTAGGTTAGGACTGCGCACCCATTGGAGGCTTAAAAAATTAATTCCAGCAATTTTGGGAATTTAAAAAAATGGTAAAGAAAAATTATATAATTATAACACCAACATTCGCGAATTAAAGTATCATGTTATACTCAGGAGCATGCACACAGTTTTAAGTTTTTATTAAAAACTCATAACGGATGTTTTTAATAAAAACTAAATATGTCATGATGCAATCATGGTTGCAAAGCCTGCCAAATATTTTTAAACTTGATGTGATTTTTTGGTCTTATAAACTTTTGATTGGATAAGAAATCTATGATTTACTTTGTACACGTATTTTCCGAACACCCAGTGCACTAACATAAAATTACAAAATACCTACCTACACATTATTTAAAATTCTGCTGATTTTAAAACATTTAAAGGATACGAACTATGACACTTTATCATTTATTAAATTTATGTTTAGGATTTTATTTCCTTTTCCCAGGGTATTATTACACATAAGCTTGGCGAGAATATTCATTTAATGTCCTCACATTATAATGTGATAGGGTTAGAGCTGCCGACTTACTGTACATTTATGGAGTGCCGCAAAACTCGTTTTTATTTTTATTCAGGCAATTCCCCGAACCTCTGATTGGATTATCTTTGTGCCACAACAATGAACGGATTATCCTGTCGGAGTGGTAATGTGTTTTTATGGCTGTGAATAATGGGAAATTTATGCCTTTAATTGAAATTGAAAATAAGTTAATTTTTGTACTGAGTGGCAAAAAAAGTTTGGTTATTTCAAAAACATGGCTATTGTCTCATTAAATAAGCTCTATAACGTTTAGGGATTAGTTTTTTTAGTACGAGGTGTTTTCAGACAATAAGGTACGTTTCCGAACACACCTTTTTACTAAAAAAACTAAATATCGTTTTTAAAAAATTTTTAAGGGCGAAGCCCCTATAAAGTCGGATCTAGTATGATGATCTATTTTATTATTTGTTACAATTACTACCATCGGTGTCGTCAAATAAATAGCAGAAAAACAAGAAAATATTTATAAAAAAATTATCTATGGATTTAAATCAGCTTTTAAATCATTTTGGATAAAAAATATTGAAATTCATTAAATAATTTTTTAATTGATGATGATTATCTTTTGATGAGTTAAACTGCATTATTTTATCCTTCAGTTTTTTGCCCAATTTTATTTTGATGAACATACTTAGCAACTTTTCCTCAAATTTTTGGTAAACGTTCAAAATTAAAAGAAAAACTGGAAAAAATGGACTCACAAACTGACAGGCAACTACACAGTAAAAAATTTTGCCTGTGTAAATTTTTTACTGTTATGGTAAAAATATTAGAGTTGATTTGTAAGTGTAAAAGTTACACTACAAAATACACTAGGTAGCATTTAGTGCTTATTAACTTTATTAAACACATTTAAAGAATATGAACATTATTCATTGGTATATTCACACTATTTATTATTAAAATAAATCAAAAGGGTAGAAAAACTTAATGCGAGTGTTTATTACCCCTTAATGTGTTAAATAGTGAAAAAGTATACACTACAGTGCATGCCAATTTCTTTGTCTGTTTTGATGTTACTTATGATGTTACTTATAAGAGCTCTTTTTTCTTTACACTACTAGTGCACATTGTATCACAATTAAAGTTAAATTACACCAATAGTGGCAAAATAGGCTGAAAAAACTGGTAATAATTGAAATGCGTTTTAAAATGTTTGGTTGGTAGGTACCTATCTACCTAAGCAGTGCATATCCGGAGATACCGCGTTGTGGAAGTGTGGCATTTTTGTTCAGTTAGATTTTAATTACGGTGAATCCATAAGGGTACATTCTTATTTTTTGGTAAGTATTATACTTTTTTTTTCTTTAAGCCTTAATACTCAATAAATGCCAATATGAAAAGGATGTCCATACCCTACCTATATTATATATCAATAATTTACGGCAGTAGGTCGGGTACTTGTAAAATTAATAATATAAATACATACACACTTGATTTTCTTTTTATTTTCAAGCGTAATGGTTGTTATATTAACCTATAGGTACCTATATTTTTATTAATATTAGGGAAAATTTGAACACGTGTGGTAAATCCCCGACATACAGCCGTCTGACGCCTCTCTACCAAAGGGATCACCCATTTTTTATAACAGAAAAATGGATTACTGATAAATTCTCAAGATAATTCATTGCTTACAAGTTGATAGCCAGTAAAACATTGCATTGATCTAAAACTTTTACGTTTAAGGAACCATTTTGCTTAAGCCAGCCATACGACGATTTTAATAATTGTCATAGATTTTTGTTCCAAATAAATGTTTCTCTTTATTTACCTTTTCGTTTTATTCACTACCACCAATAGGTATTACTCAAATAATAGTGTTAATTTACACTAGAAGTTTGCACTAAAAGAGTAAAAGTACCTTTCTAAAATTAGAAGTGCTAATTTACACTGAACAAAAGTGGGATTTTACCCAGGAAGTGTAGAAGTACACGATTTTAGGTAAATTAACACTTTTTAATACCCAGGAAGTGAAGAAGTACACGATTTTAGGTAAATTAACACTTTTTAATACAGTGTAAAATTACTTTATCCTCAGTGCTATAGTGTTAAATCATACTTGCTTACTTGGGGAAAATTACACTACAAATTAACTCTAATTGTAGTGTTATAAAACAACCCTATTTAGTGTGGACCTTTGTGAACTCTAATTAGTGTTGCTTAGAGTTGTTTTTTTTACTGTGTAAAAGTTATATAAAATTACTTTAAAAGTGAGTTTTTCGGCCGATGTTCGGTTGTATTAAGATCAATGTATAAAAAAATGTAACCTTGAGCCGAAGCCTACTTCCTACTATAAATTTTGGGAATGTTCGGCGTTGGCAAACATTCGGCTTAATTTTAGCCAAAGCTAAATGTTTGAAGTCGAAGCTTCAGTTTGACACTCTAAATTTTCTAATCAATAAATCCATTGTTGGAAATTTAGCACATTTAACCTTCAGCAAAGTAATGGCCTGATAAAATAAAAATTTTGTGCACAGGGTGTCCCAAACTTGACGCCCCAACCTTATTGTGAAAAAATGGTGACATTAAGAAAAAATACTATTAGTTATTTCTAAATTAGGCGCTTTAACAAGAAAATTTAGCAAAAAATAAATAAAAAATGATGGCGACGCTCAGCGCCGCTACGCTGACGAAAGTATTTTTTACACGAATATACTTTTTTTTTACTACGGTTGGGAAGATAATTGAAATCTCAGAGTTTTTTTTTTAAATTGTTTTCTATCCATTAATGTTTGGAAGTTATTACAATTTTATTAGACAAATCCATGCATGCCAATGTAAAATTTTTATGATCTAGATTGCCATGCCTTTTTGACGTTACTCTATAAAACAAAATAGTTTTTAAAGTAAAGTGTCAAACAATTAATTGAAACTTGTTACAAAGTTTTTTACTTTATTTCTTATTTTTAACATTAATTAAGTCATCATGGTATCAAATCAAGAAAAAGTCGATATGCTTTTAATATATGGTGAGGCAAATCGTAATTCCAGGGCAGCACTTCGGTTATATAGACAAAAGTATCCAAATAGAATAGTTCCCGACCAGAAAATGTTTAAAAGATTGGAAAAAAATCTTACGCAAAAGAGCCCGAAATGATGAAGCCGTCCCACTAATTTTTGTTGTGTTTGAAAATAGACCAAGAACATCTTTGGGTCGTGCCAGTCTTGCTTTAAACAAGTCACGAGTATCAATTTGGTTGTTTTGTAAATATTTTGGTATATTACAAAAGATTCATTTTTTTTTGGTATATTACAAATGATTAACTTGCCCACCCAATTTTAATGTATTTTTTTAAAAGCACGTATGTGGAAAAACATAATAAATATTTAAAACATCAGTACCTTGGCGTGTTACAACTACAAATATTTGATTGATTTTATTTTAAAATATATTCAATTTAACTTAAATTTTTCAATTTCACTGTAAACTATAAAACATTAAATAATGGATTTTTAATATTTTATCATAGATTCGAATAATAGCAATTTTTAAAAAAATCATTATCTTTGTACTCACTTTTACCCGTCAGTTCTGTGTCCAATGTTAAAATTCAAAATTCTTGCGAAATATTAAAGTTTAAACGTCAAGTGTTGGTAAAAAATTACCTACAGAGCCCGCCCTTTGCACGACAGTCATCTTGAAAACAATGCAAGCGGCGAAGTTGTGGTGAATGCACGTCTAGTTCC